CCCACTCCCCCTGCTTGTGTTCCCTCTCTCGCTGTATCTCTTTCTGTCAAATAAATAAATAAAAATCTTAAAAAAAAAAAGAAGTTAAGCTGTCACAGAAATGAATATGGACTTGAATTAGGCTTGTGGAGGAGGAAACAGAAAGGAAGGACCAGCTTGGGCCACATTGCTTTTTTCAAAATATGGAATATGATCTCATTTTTATAAAACCATGTATTATCTGTATGTTTTAAAATACATATACAAAGAATCTTATAAATCTCTAAGCTTGACAATAGTTAGTCAAAGAGGCTTCTGGGGAAATGGTGTTGTGTGTGGGTGGGTGTGTTTTTTTAAATAACCATGTATTATTTTTATCTTTACAAAAGACCCTGTGAGGGAGGCTGTCATCAGCTTCACTTTACAGGTGAAGAAACTAAGGTTCAGAGAGAGTTTGAATCACTTGCTCAAGGTCACACAACCAGTATTCTTAGTGCTCCACTAGGCCTTCCCCAGAGAGACTCTGAAGGAATAATCAAGGAGCCTTCATGATTAATTGGATGAGGGAGGGGTAGAAGGGAAGAAGACAGAAAGGGATTAAAAATGACTGGGACACTTTGAGCCTGACCAAGTGGAAAATAATCAGAAGTCAGGGAGGGAGTACTGGGTTACTGGGGGAAGGTTTAAGCCAAAGGAATGAATATCTAATGATGGAATTTGGTTAAAAAAAAAAATGATGGAATTTGGTGCATCAGATCAGAACTTAGAGGTAAGCCCTAAGTATACTTCTTACTAGCTGGCCCTACCACTGAGCACCTGAGGGCCCCCTAGGAACTGGGCATTTTCAAGAGAAAGAAAAATTCAACCCCGCACTTCCAGGTAAGTGGTGTGTTCCTCTGAGTACTTGGGTCCTTCTGCATCAGCAGCTTGTACTTTCTGTGGCTCTATGTGGCCTGATTGATTGACCAGGCTTAAAAGGCCTGCTGTTGAATTTGAGATCTCAGGCTTCCAGCCTATATAGGTCATCAGCAAAGACTTAAAGGCCTGGCGTGAACGCAAGGTTATTATTCACCTGAAAAGACATTATAAACCACAAGAACACAGGCCCAGCAGGCAGGAATGGCCACCCAGCTCACTGGGCACACTGTGTCCTCATCTGTCCATCCAGCATGATTCATAATTAAATCTGCAGCAGGCAGGAGGCAAACTAGCATTTTGTGTAAACTGGTGCTGGGGAAGCACTTTGCCTACAACTTAACTTCAAAGTTCTAGAGCTCCAGAACTTGATTTGCTTGTGACATTTCCAAGTTGAGGCTACTCTTCCCTACCCTTCCCTGGGACCGTCCCTTTGTGGGGGAGATGACCCAAAGGGAAAAAAAAGGTTGTCGGGTCACCAGGTGTATTAGTTAGAGTTCTCTAGAGAAACATAACTGATAGAATGAGGTTTCTTTTTTTTTTTTAAGTTGGCTCCACACTGGGCATGGAGCCCAATGCAAGGCTTGAACTCACGACCCTGAGATCAAGACCTGAGCCTTGCTCAAGAGTCAGATGCTTAACTGACTGAGCCACCCAAGTGCCCCTGGAACGAGATTTATTATGAGGGATTGGCTCATGCATTTGTGGAGGCTGAGAAGCCCCACGGTCTGCAGTCTGTATGCTGGTGCTCAGGAAAGCTGGTGATGTGGTTCCAGTTTGAACCCAAAGGTCTGAGAAGTGGGGAGGAGCAATGGTGTAAGTCCCAGTTTGAGTCCAGAGGCCTGAGAACCAGGAGAGCAGATATCTGAAGGCAGGAGACCATGGAGGTCTCCAGCTCAAGCAGAAAGCAAATTCACCCTTTCTCGGCATTTTGTTCTATTTAGGCCCTCAGTGAATTGGATGATGCCCACCAGCACTGGTGAGGACAGTCTTCTTTACTCAGGCTACTGATTCAAATGCTAATCCCTTCCAGAAACACACTCAGAGACATGTCTAGAAGTAATATTTTACCAGCTCTGTGGGCAACCCTTCTCCGCGTCAAGCTGACAGAAAATTAACCATCACACTAGGTACTAAGTTTAGGTTTGGAAAACTGTGGTACTGAGATGCCACATGCTCAGGCCCCATGTGTTTCCAGTTAAATATATCATGAAAAAAGGAAGCCGGCATGTGGGCAAAGTACATGAATTCACAAAAGGAAATTCAAATGCTATGTAACCATATTACACAACTCCAGGGGGCAGCATTCACATTGAATTCTATTCACAGAGATGCACATTGTGATGGTCTGTCAGAGAGGATGCTCAGCCTCTCCTATATATATATATATATTTTAAAGATTTTATTTATTTATATGACAGAGAGAGA